TGTTGAAACTTTCATTTAATGGTTCATGATCAAAACCACCATTGATTTGGACGAGACCTTGTCCTTAAACCAGATTTATAGGGGGGGTAATAGTTGTCAAGAAATTATTCCACTTACTATTTTTTGGGTGATTTTGAAAGAAAGAAATGCTGGAACTTTTTTGTGGGGGTAGAGATTAGCTTTGATAACATTAGGGATAGATGGATACATACTTTTGGATCTATTTTGTTGGGTCATGATATTAAATATCTTGATAATATAGGTGCGGTCATCGACTAATTGATAGATTTGTAATCATTTTGTATATAGATGGTACCTCCTTAGTACCTTGTGAATAATAATACTTTACTTTTATTTCAAAAAAAAAGATTAGTTGTCAAGAAATTATCAGACACCAGTTTCTTTTGATACTCACAGCTATTCCCCAGTAGAGAGTAGAACATCTCCTTGAGCCTACAGGGCAACAGCTGAATAATAATTACATCTTTTTGTCTTGTTTACTAAAGGAGGTTCAACAGTCTATTCTCGTGGAATTGTCAGTCAACAATTGACTAGTGTATAACAGTGATGCAGTTCATGTTCCCATCCCCCACCCCCCACCCCCAAACCAAAATAAGTGGATGGAGCAAATGGCATGATATTTAATGCCAAAATTGTTCTAGAAGATACAGTCAATGACTGAAATTTCAGCTTAAGAGCAACCACAAACATACATTTGCATACAATTCCAGGTATCCCTCCTTCTATTGATATTTTTGCAGCTCATTTTGGGTCCTAAAATCAATAAATTCTATACCCATGTAATAAGAGATATCCTCGACACAACATCTGATAAAAGGTAGAATCATTACTTCCTAAGGTTCCTACTTCTAGGAGGCGCACTAAAAACCTAACTCTTAATAAGTTGAAGCCATTGTTAAAATGACACAGTAACAGAGAAGTAGAGCTAATTTTATCAGAAATGCCTCTCTAATTCCTCATAACTCGTAACACTTAGTCGTTGTGAAGTTAAAGTTACAGGACTAATCAACACTAAAGCAGGCGCAGTTAGATTCAATTTAATGCAAAGATGTGGACTGGAAACGAACCTGATGATCGATAATCTTAACCAGAACCAAGAAGAAATCATTGTCCACCTCCTTAACATCCTTGCCACCAACAACCACATCCTTCTTCATCCTGGAGAGTTTAGGATCGTCGTCGTCACGGATCTCCGTCTCGAACCAACCATCCTTAAACAGCCTTACGCACATATCACTCATCTGAAACGCCTCAAAGTGGATTTCGGCGCCGCCATCCTCATTCACCTCCAGCTTCACCACAGCCGTTACCCATTCCTTCAACCCGCTTTCCGCGTGGAGTTCCACAGCCTGCAGAACCTCCTTGTTCGACAAGGTGTAGTCCTTCTTGTCCTGCATTATCGTCTGCGTAAATATAAACCCCACTCTCCTCATCCCCAACCCCATTGCGATAGCATCTACGAGCTTCTCCTCCTCCAGGTCCCTCATAAACAACAAATCCTCAGTGCCTTGCTGCGGCGGCTCGTAGATGAAGTTAACCTCCACTTTCCCATCCTCCGAAACGACGCCGTACATAAACCCTCCTCTCTTCACGGCGAATGCGAGGGACTCATTTACGTAGTGCTGGAAAGCGTTGGCGCAGTCGCGATCGAAAGAGACGGACTCGCAGTGGGAGGTCTCCTGGCGCGTGACGCGCATCTGCTTCGCGATCAAGTCGTCCATGGTCATCTTCCGGCCAAACGATCCGGCAGGGTGGACGGCGGGACCGCCGCGGACGGTGCGCTCACCCTCGTAGGCGAGGAAGACGATAGAACCGTGGGTGAGGTTGAGGGAGGAGAGAGGAGTGTTGGGGTTAGCCATGTCGGTGAATTGGAGGAGATCATGAGGAGCCTTGGCCAACAGAAGGTTCTGGTTCGCGGAGAGGGTTTGGTTCTGAACGGGGATTTGGAGCTGCGATTGGATTAAGACTTTGAGCTCAGCAACCGTGGTGTGTGGATTATCGACGGAGACTCTCTCCAGGCCGTCTCTGCTACGGATCCTAAGCATCATCTTGCTTCGATTTGAGGAAAGAGATGGAGTGGGAACAGCAGATTGGGCCCTGGTATTAGACGGATTTCAAGGACTTAAGAGTACAGAGACTGAAGAAAGTAAAGCGTCAACTTTTGTTGAGATACGATTTTGCTTGTATGCGAAGCAGACTCCCGCAAAATATATATATATATAACACACCCCTCGATTTCTTCCAAACTTCTGCTGAATCAAGCTTATCATCATCCAGTTTCCATTTCCATTTTAGATTTGCTTTGCATATTTTAACATTTATTTATTAAATTTATTCCTCCAATAATATATAACGTAATTTAATAAACTATGGACTGGGCCAACCCTGGCTCAGCCGAGCCGAGCCGACAAAATATAGGCCCATGCTATGGGCCAAGCTGTCCCAAGCCAGTCTTACGAGCCTATTGTTAAGTTAGAGAACAGCCCAAATCCATTTTTTGTCAATATTTTTTCAAATTTTATTATAGAATTTTATGTAAAATTTTACAGAAAATTAATTTTTTTATTATCATAATATAATTCATATTATTTTTAATTAAATTATATTAAATTAAATTTTAAATTTATGAATAAATTCTGCAAAAAATTTCACATATATTCTAAAAATAGCCCTCAATTATCAATTTATAATTAAAAACTAAATTATTTATACTCAAAATTTTACAATTTTCTTACATATAATTTATCAATTCCAAAATGTGTGTGGTAAATTTTATGAGTATATCTATATATTAAATTGATATATTTTTTTAATTATTATTGTACTTTTTATTTTAGTAAATTTTGAATTGTGTATATTATAATAATATCGGAGTAAACATTTAATTTTCTTATAATATTTTTCATTAACAATAACTAAACTTAAGATTAATTACGAAAATTAAATTAAAAACTGAAAATTAAGCAAATACACAACCAAATTATTCATTAATCAAAGCCTGATACACAAATCAACATCACGAAATGCTCCCACTTTATTAATTAACACACAGCACAAATACAATAGATTTTAATCTTAACCATCACAATTAAAATCCTTTGACACATACATAAACCGACAAATTAAAACACTAATTAATCAAGATTAATTAATTAATTAATTAATTAATAACATTGCATTTCTTCCTAATCTCTCCAGCTGTGCCGGCGAGGACCTCGACGGCTCCCATTCTCTTCATTGACTGAGCAAACTCGGTAAAGAATTTCTCCTGGTTGAGTAATTCGTTGACAATATTTTTTGAACCTTTGTTCGTTAGAAGCGCAGCGTCAGACTGAAACAATCCTTTGTTTTGCAGGAGGATCTTGTAGTAATGACTGTCAAAATCCTCGGCACTCTTAGGATCCATGTCTACCACAGTTGTAGTGTCACTGGGATTTCTGCATTTAGTCTTCAAGAAAGCAGCATATTTTGGGTCTAATGTAGGATCCTGGTCTCCTTTCCCAGTGAAGTTAAAAAGCCTGTTAGTAAAACCAGCGCAGTGGGAGACTCCAATTGTGTGTCCGCCTAAAATAATAAGATCAACATGATAAGTTCGTTTATATATATATATATATACAATATACAAATTGTTGAAGTATCATACTACATGCACCAAAGTGATCCGAATGACCCAATAGTCCATATGTTTCCACTCAATATAGGTAAGCCAAGAACATTCATAATAGACTTAGTTAGCATATATATATGTATATATACATGTATATAATTACAATTACCTGATAGAACTACAAGGTCATGTACAGTGAGACCTTTGGCTGCGAAATTCTGTTTGAGAGCAGTGAAGTTCATGAAAGGTGATGGGATCTGAGTAAGAGCTTCTACCTCAATTGATATTCTGCCATCTCTTCTGCCAGTAAGTACTTCCCACATAGGTTTATCAAACTGAAATGAAAAAAAAAAAAGGTATTAGAGATAAATACTTAAAAGTAGAAACTTTACAATATACATGATTAAGATTCTTATAATTAACAAGTCTATAGCTACACTAATCTTCTTTATAGAATATATATACACACACACATAAGTACGTGCATATATATAACTTACTGAGAAAGACACTGAATCTCTAGCAGCCAGAGCCAATATATCAGCACAAGACACAACTCCTGGACATGCCTTTTCAACTTGTTTTTTTATGTCATCAATGACATCAAAACCTAATAGTGTCTGGTTTGGAATTGCATCTCTTTCTGCTGAATTATTCGGAGTTGAGTCTATTAGAACAGACCCATCACAACCCTGAAATTCGTAAAAGTTCAATTAGTTCATTGACTTAATTAGCGATAACAAATATATATACTTGCGATAATATTATTTTTTTAAAAATCGTGAATTATTTTATTTACATATTAGATCACGGATACGAAACTTATATCTTAATTTTTAGTACGGTTAAAACACAAATTATCCATATAAAACTAAGATATTCATGAGAAACTCTCGCAATCTTACCTTATATAAGAGAATGGAATCATGAATCCAAGTTACAAATCAATCAATGATTATATGTTGTAAATTCTTTTTTCCTTGTAGCGCGTTAAATTATTATTAAAAAAAACATATATTATAAGATAAAGTTATTCGATAATTATATAACTTATCGTACATGATTGACGTGAGATTACATCTCTTATTATTCTCCCTTTATACGTAGTGTATATATGATCATATACGAGACATTCAAAATTTTGACAAAATACCATGCATGACCAAACTACGAGTTATACTTGTCTCTAACATTATTTTAATTTTTTTACTAAAAAACTTTTACACTACTTTCTATGTTCAGAAAAAAAAAAAAGTTCAATAAATATATAAACTACTATAAATAAGCATATTTGGTCGGTGTCATGATATATTTAGTATAATATTTATAATCTACAAAAATGCATCATCTATTAATTACCCGGACGAAACAATCGTGAAAATGCATCCTTAGGAGTTGCGCGGCCACGGCAGGGTTTCTTGCAACATGTTTGGAAGTGACATCATTCACAATATCCTCTGCCTTCGGACATGTATCTCGATAGAATTTTTTTCTTAAAGGACCTCCTTGACAACTTACAATAACATTCAATAAAAGTATAGTCGAAACGAATAAGACGAATATAGTTCTCATTTTACACGAGATATATATAAGTGTTAATGAAATTATAACTTCAAGTACCCGGATGGTCCTCGAAACCACAATGCAATTCCTTTTTATAGAGGGGGGATTGCCACCTTCCCCAGCTAACATGAAATTAATTAATCCTTAATTAAGTGATTAGTTAATCAACCATTATTAATTATTTAATTTCGTGCATCAAAATGAGCTTATAATATGTGGGTAAATTTTAATTAATTGATGTTGCTACGGAAGTGGGATATATATAATTATAAGTATATGTGTGTGTGTATATTTAAAATAAGTACGTGCCTGCAGAGGATTAAGTTGATTGGTCACAGGAGATTATCCTATTGGTTGACCAATGTTTAGATGTCTCTCTCTATGGGCGTTAGTGTATGTAAACATCTGTCGGATGGACAGGTTGACAAACGAAAGTCAACTACGCATGTTAGTTCTAAAGTAATTTAAAATTATAATTAAAAACTTGTAACGTTGTTAATAAAATACAGGAATGGTGCATATACACACACACACATATACATATATATATATATGAAATAATTACAAATATAATTATATTTATATAAGAAAATTTAATTTATTTTATAATATTTTTTATTTAAACTCAGAAATGTAATTCTACGCTTTGACAACATTCACTGTAAAAGACATGCATATATGTAAGTAAACTAATTACGGTCATCATAGCACATGGCCATGTAATACAATTATCGGTATAATTGGGTGTATAACGTATTATAATATATGTATATATATATTATATATGTTATAAATATTATAAGTAAATATAAATGAAGCTTAAACCTAGGAGATAATCATATACATTATATATATATATAGATATATATTCCTTGCTTAATGCACAAGATCATCTTCGAGCTTTAAACAATTTTCTATTGCAAACCGGTGTCTATGGCGTGTGTCTTCAATCACTACTTTATATGTTCATAATTATGAGCCGTGAAATTTGTATCTAAAAATTATAATTATATAGGTGGCCGATAATATATTTAATATAATATTCATTAAATTTATAAATAATTTTCACCACGTTAATGTGACATTTTACCATTAAGATATATCTATTTCTTCATCAAAAAAATAGAACGTAGCGAAAATATATATGATTGATTACAAATTCGAATCATAGTACATGATTTTATATAATTCGTACAATTTTTTTAATTTAAATAACATAAAATATAAAAGTAATGTTTATAAATAAATTTACAAACAATGAAATTATTTTTTACTAGCGTAATAAATTTTCACATATATATTAAAAATATCGAACCGAAAACAAAAAATTACGATAATTTAACTTAAGTTTTTTTTTTATTTTCTTAAAAAATAAAAATATTAATTAATGTGACAAATAATTGTAACATATTTAAATATAAATTAAGTTTGAGTTAAACAATATTTTATATTTATAAGAAATAATTAATATATATATATATATTCTTATTAATAATTTTGATATGTATGATAAGAAGTAATTAAACAAGACTATGATTAGCTGTAAGCGTGTATAATAAGGGATGTGTTTGCTTGTCACTTTCTCTCGTCAACCCCTTTTGTAAATTCACTTATACATACACAAATATATATATATATATATATCCGATGAATATTAAAAAATTATATTTAATTCACACACGTTACCAACACATTTATAATATATGATTTGATTCAAGCAATTTAGAATAATACGTCCAGTTAAATTTATTTATTTTTTTGTTTTATTTAGTAATTAATTATAAAATCATCCGAACTTCGAACGCAAATAACTCAAATAAATTAGTACGAGATTAAACCGGATCAAACTTATTATTTTTTATTCCGAATTGGGTCGGTTCGGACCCAATTCAATTTAATTGGGTCTGTCCAGATTTCAATTGAATTTCATCACGGGCCAGAATTCTCCATTATGGGCTTGAGCTCCTGCTAATCATGGTATAATATTTTTTTAATAAAAAACATTAAGAGTTAATCCGGTTTAGTCGTTATAATCTTAGTTATTAAAATTTAAACTTTATACATTAAGATAATTTAAAATTACCAACTTAATTAATTATTTCCGTCACGTGTCAAAAGATGGAAGTTAACTAAAATTGTAATAGACGGTAAAAATTACAACTAACGAATAATGCAAAGAGACAAAACCCAAAACGCAGAGCAGAGGGTGAAGGCAACGATCAAGTAGTCTTGTGGCGTTAGATCCTGTGGGGCAGGATTTGAAATTCGAAATAGTTAAGGTTTTGGAGGGAAAGATTGTGACCGTTGATCGGGTGCCTTGTGGGGCCCTATGGTGATATGGGACCCACGTCGCGATCTACGTTGCTTTCGCTGTCCCTCCCGACACCAAATAGAAAATGCCAAATGCTTTTTTGCGCGGCCCAAATTCCAATTCGCATTTTGATACGTCCGCGCCAGATTTTGATACGTCCACGCCGGATAGGGTGTGTTTGGATGATGCAAATAAAAGCGTATTAATTGCGGGGAAGGAATATTTTTTCTTTTATTTGAGGGTTTAATATTTTAATATAAATAAAAAACATTTTAATTTTTCTAAAATTACCCAATTTTTACATAATTGAGATTGAACCTCATTTCGGTTTGATTTTTTGTTTTAAAAATAAATTTATCATTAAATAGGTAAAATTCAATATATTTTGAATAAATTTAAATATAAAAATTATAATTTTTAATTTTTAAATTTTAATAAAAATCTACAATTGAAATTTCAATATTCATTTTTACTACACACACACATCTTCTATTTTTTGGGTTATTTTCCTCTAACTCCCAAACGCATCCTTATAAATCCAAGGTACGAGGGGCCCCACTCGCCCTTTATTCACGCGCGTTGCATAAAAGAATATTAACTTCTTATTGGAAATATCAAATATGTTTTTTCTTATGGTATTTACTTTCTAATTTCAATTATTTTTCTTTTAATTAAAAATAAAAAAATTACAATTATTTCTTCATAAATAATCTTACCCATTATTATTTATTATTTATTAAAATTAATAAATAGTAATATAATTTTCTACTTAATATTTTTAATTGTAATATAATTTAGTATAAATTAAATTAAATTAAATTAATTTTATTATAAAAAAAATTACACAGCAGTAAAAGAGAGTCTGTCGTTTCTGCAGCACTTAATTACCAACCGATATATATGGTAATTACACATATATATATATATATGTGTGTGTGTGTGTTTGTATAGATGTATATATATATATGTCTCACGAGAATCCCAGGAAACAGAGAATTCAAATAGGAGCTGAGAATGGCATTTTTGATATTTCAAGAAACAGTGAGGTCAAAAATGGGAGAAAATAGAGATAAAGTAAAGCCTCTTAAAGAATTTGAAACGAGTGGCCGTTGGAACTCCCAACTTCAAAAACCCAACTTGAATGCAACACCACTCTGAAATTTAAATCTTCTTCTTCATCTTCTTCTTCATCATCTTCTTCTTGTCTCTTCTACCGAGAGAAACAAAGATTCTATACAAGTTTCATAGAGAGAGAGAGAGATGACAGGGTTAGTAATGGTGACGAAGGGAGTGGGCTGCGGTGGTGGGAAGGGAGAGAGAGGAGCAAGGAGTAACGATGAAGAGCAGAACCAGCTCTCAGTAATGGCGCTTCTGTTAGCTGCTCTGAGAAAATCAATGGTGTCTTGTCGTGTTGACAGAGCGGATCATGACGTAATCTCCGCCGTTCATCACATGGAAATCGGGTGGCCGACTAACGTACGCCACATAACTCATGTGACTTTCGATCGGTTCAATGGCTTCCTAGGTCTTCCTGTTGAGTTCCAGGTCGAGGTCCCTTGCCGAGTCCCCAGTGCTAGGTATATAACATGTCGAAGACGCATATATAAACTCGTGCTTATGTACTTCTAATTTTGTGGGTGCTTCCAAAGTTTTGATTCTTGAACTGGATGTTGATTTGAGTTTGAAACGTTTAGGTTTTTGTGGTGGATTAGATCTGAGAGAAATAATCTGTAACTATTTGATTTATCTACTCAGTTACTTGAAAACTGATTGTTCTGAGGGTGAGATCTAAATATGAGCTGAGATTTAGCTGCATTATGTCTGGAATTTAGCTCTTTTAGCTCATGTAGAGGAAAGAGCCCCTGTTTGTTTCCCGAGAAAAAAGCCTGGAACTTTTGAAGTCTGTAATTAAAAATTTTGCCAGACAGTTGTATTGGCTTCCTCAGCTCCAAAGAACTATTTCGCATGTCCTCTACTGTTCTATTTCCAGTATTCCAGTTTTCTTTTGTCATTTAGCAGATAGCCAGTGTTGAATTTGATCATCCTCCATATTCTCTATGTTAGAACTCTTGTATATTTGATTCTTATAAATTATGGTTCTAAAACTTGCTATTCCCTTGTTTATTCAGTGCCAGTGTGTTTGGAGTATCAGCAGAATCAATGCAATGTTCTTATGATTCAAGAGGAAATAGTGTGCCTACAATTCTCTTGTTAATGCAGGAGAGATTATACTCACAAGGAGGCCTAAAGGTACAAATTGGGAATTTCACCCTTATTTAAGACTATAAACACATACCAACTTTAAATTTGTGTTGATTTAACATCTTTCATGTGTACTTATCAGGGTTTGTTTTACTGATTGTTATGTAGGCAGAAGGGATTTTTAGGATAAACCCAGAGAATAGTCAGGAGGAGTATGTGAGAAACCAGCTTAACAGGGGCTTGGTGCCTGAAAACATTGACGTGCATTGTTTGGCTGGGCTTATAAAAGCCTGGTTCCGGGAACTTCCTTCAGGAGTTCTTGATGGGCTTTCGCCTGAGCAAGTTCTTCAGTGCAACACTGAGGAGGAATCTGTTGAGCTTGTGAAACAGCTAAAGCCAACAGAGGCTGCTTTGCTTAATTGGGCTGTTGATCTAATGGCTGATGTTGTTGAAGAAGAGGAATCTAACAAAATGAATGCAAGGAACATTGCCATGGTTTTTGCACCAAATATGACTCAGGTATATCATCTGTTATATATCTAGTCAATTGCCATGGTTTTTGCACCGAAAATGACTCAGGTTCCTGCTTATGAAACTCTTAAAATATCTTTGTCAAATTGACACAAAATCCTTGTTGGGTTTGAGTCAATATTCTTTTAATGACGTTTTCTTTTTTCCTTATTAACCAGATGTCTGATCCATTGACGGCTCTTATGCACGCGGTCCAAGTGATGAACTTGCTAAAGACCCTGATCACTAAAGCATCGAGAGAAAGAGACGAGACGACAACCGGAGGATATTCACCCATGTCATTCCATTCATCTGATCGTCAGAGTGACGAGGAATTTGACAGTCACCAAGATATGGATACCAGCTGCGAATTGAGAGGGCCAGCCTCAGATTATGATGATCAGCAGGCACATTACAGCCACAGCAATGAAGATGATGATGATGATGATGGTAATGACGTTGAGTCATTAACCGAGGTAGAAGGATGCTTCTTGAAACCATTAGACAAGAGTAATGATGTTAATCCTAGTGATTTCTTGGAGGAATCTGCAGAAATCAGTGATTTACATAAAAACCATGGCAGTTCTCCAAGTTGGTCCGCCATTAACGCGGAGTCTAGCAGCATTTCATTCACTGATTACAGCAAGACCAGGAATTCAAGCTTGAGCACAAGCGATGAAGAGGTCTCCGGAGCAAGTTTCATCATGGCTTTTAGATGCAAGGTTGATGGAGAGAGTCCATCAAAAGTTTGTGAAGACAAGGATGAGGATAACTTGCAGAATATGATAGTAGTAGATGAGTTAACGGAATCCATTTGACATCTAAACTTGATCACTTTACATCTAATTTTAATCTGTCTGATCAGGGTTTTAGTTTCTTCTTCTTCTTCTTCTTCTTCTTCTTCCTCAAGGTGTTGTTAGGGGGAAAAAAACACCGGTGTGTTTGCAGGGTTTTGGTTTGCCCTCAAGAACATCATTAATGGTGACTTCTGTATATGGGTAGGGAGAGTTTGTCGTTGCTTGAATGTGGGATTTGTAAGAGCCATGATTCAGCAAGGTGCTGAAGTCATGTCATGTTGTGTAGTTTTGTTCAAGTTGTGAAAGATTTTTCTAACCTTGAACTTCATTCATCATTGGTTTAGTGCCATTTCCATCCATGTCAAAGGACTGAAGAAACAGTATGGATTGATTTGTGGGGGATTATGATCTACGTTGTCTGCTTGATTTTCCTTGGGGAGAAAAAAAAGAAAGATTTCATTCAAAGTGAAAATTTTGGAAATTCTTTTTATTATATATATATATATATATATTAGTTATTTTAGCATTACATTCATTCCAAGTTTATAGGTCAAGTAATAATTATATAGCTTGAATTTCTCCCTGTGTTAAAAATTGAATTACTGTTAATTTAAATGTAATTTCTACATTTAAGTTAATTCTGTTTTCATATTTGACTTAAGTATAGATTCAACTAACAACACGTGCTTCCCTAAGAAAGACAATGTATAATATATATATATATATATATGCACGCATACAGAATATTATGGAGTACCATATTCGAAATTAGATATGTGATTAAATTAATGACAGTAAAGTGTAAATTTATGATTATGAAAATCTCCATTTTCAATGCTCAGATTTTGTTTTGGACTTTGGGTCGTATCTACCTTTCTTTTTAGAAGATTGTGCTGCGCGCTCCTCCCATTTTCATTACCAAACTACTTCACTCATCAATTTTTTTTTTTTTTTTTAAAGTGAAAGAAACCTTAAATTGTTATATAATGTTTTTTTCACATTAAAAAAAAAATACTAAGTTAAAATTTCAATCCAATTATATTTATCTTAATTTAAAAAATTTAATTAGTATAAAATATTATAAATATTTTAATCTAATTTAATAACATAATCTTATAAATATATTAAAAGGGTAAATTTTAATCTCGATTATTAATTATTATACTTTATTAAAGATTGAAAATGACTTTCAAAAAAAGTTCTTAAACGAGAAATAGCGAGGAGATAAATATTATTCCATATAAAGAAAGGAATTTGTAGTTTCACCTACAAACTTAATTAATCTTATTCAATTTAAATTCAATTATTTTTTCAATAATTGGGAATTTGTCGTTAAATTTTTTACTATTAAAAATTTTGTCTTTTAAAATTGTCTTATTGCTCTTTTTTTTAAAAAAAAAATATATTTTTAATTCATTTTATGTTTTTGTATTTAAAAAATAGATAATAAAAAATTTAAAACTTTTACGTGAAAAAATTTAAATTAACTGATAAATTATTGTATATAAAGTCATAGTAAAACTAAATCGGATTAAGTTAAAATTTAATTTATGAAAAAAAAAATTAAATGGGATAATAATAATAACAAAAGAAAAAAAAAAAAAACTACTAACAACCTCTTTTGTTTTAATTTCTTGGTTCATGAATCTTTTCAAAAACGTGTTTGTTTGTATTATAATGTTTAATAATAATTTATTAATTAAAAAGTTGTGAACAACCACTACTTTGATTTCTTAAATATTAATTCTTTTTTACTCATTTGCAGCACTAGAAAAAGGTTGTAAAATGGTCCAAAGAGATTTGATCTGATGATAATTTATTTATGACAGGTTTTCATTTTTGGTTAACATCTGTATTTTCTTTTTTTTTCTTATACGAAAGACAAAAATTAAAAGATAATTAAGATATCGTTGTATTTTAATATCGTCAGTAAAAAATTATTGAAGATTATTTAACAATTGAACATAAGAATAAGTAAGATCCATTTTTAATTCAACCGTGGACCAAATTGTGTTTTCTAAAATCTTAAATGGGAACCTGTTAGGTGAACAGTTTGAAAAATTATTATTGTTTCTTTAATGATTCGTCTAATAAAGTTTAAATTAATTTAATAAAACGATGATTTTAATAAATACCCACGTGGAATTTTCAATTTTTGATATTGAAAATTTATGAAATTTCTTCTCAGATACTTAAATATTTCGATAATAAAATTCTAAGTATACATTAAAAAATGAGTTCGTAATATCTCTGAAGGTAATTTAATTTTGATAGTTACGTGAAAGTAGACATGGAAAAGAAAAGGAAGTTTCTAAGCTCTAAATAGCAAGCCCAACCACAGGTAGTTCAGATCCTTTAATTTTTAGCTTCTCTGGATTTTTTTTGTTTGTACCAGACAACAATTACTACATGGAATGAAATTGCAAAATCACAGAAGTGGGAATCTTCTCTGAGAAGGGAAGGAAAAAAAAAAAAAAGGTAAAAAAATGAAACGAGAACGAAGAGGAGGTAGATAGATATTCGTTAATTTGTACAATTGAACTGTGGAATCTATCTGAGAAAACCCTAATGAAAAACAGAATCCAAACAGAAGAAGAAGATGCAGGGTTACCCAGAAACCAGCTGAAGATTTAAGAAGCCAAACAAGCCTCCCAAAACAGCTTACTCCTTTCTTTCTCATTCATCAGTTTTTTAACCGAATCAATCACGTTCACACTTGTTTTCTTCCTCGATGAATCCACTGTTTGATAACTATTAACCTCCTCTTGATCCTCCACTTCTTCGTCTTTCTCCTCCCGATAGTTACCAACATCTTTTTCATCAAAAAAACCTTTAAAGGTACAATCACTGAATTCAGTCACTATACTCCCGGAATCAGAGAAGCTCACGTGGGTATAGCTACACGACTCTGCATCATCATCGGCATGATCACGGGTCTCGGTAGAAGCCATGGTAGGATGATGATCAAAATCGATCTCTGAATCGCCGGTGCCCTCAAAGAGAAAGAAGGAAGACACATCTACAACATTCATCTTCAAGTCCATCTGCTGTTCTCTCTTTCTCTTCCTTTCAAAACAAACAAGAAAAGAATAAAAATCTTACTGAATCGTTCAGATCACACTGTCGGAAGACTTGTTAGCTTTTTCAGCACGAACTCTTCAACTGTATAAATATATATATACATATAAGAAATGGGACTGAAACGTTGTCAGCCTTGTTTGGAACTGAGCAATTTGGTTCTGAAACTTTACCGGGTCGGCTTACTCGAAGCTGAATTCTTTCCTTTCTTTTTCTAAAAAATAATTAGTTTGAAAGATAAAAGAAAAGAAGATGCATGTGTTGAAAGTTGGGTTGATGACTAAAGCATGTGAACTTTTGTGGGTTTTCTAGAAGGAATACAAAAAAAAAAAAAAAAAAAGGTATATACTTTTGATTTGATGAGATAATAATAAATGAATATGAAATTAAGGCTTCTAGAAGAAAACAGAATTCCTCTTTAAGAAAATAAAAATAGAAAAAAACCCTTCAAGTGTCAACACCTATAAAATTTCCCCTTTCTTCACGTATTCAAAGTATTTGATTTATCATACAGGTTCAGATTTAGGTTTCTTATTTCAGTAACAGTAATTAATTTACTACTCTTCTGCTACGTCAAGTTTTGGAAAATAATGTAAACAATTATAATGCACACGGAGTGGAATGGGACTACGCCTAACCTTATAGTCTAGAGGGGGGGGGGATATACATAAAACAATTTACTATGGCCCTATGGCTAAACGTCACGAATGGGGCTAACTTTCCCAGATCCAAAACAAAATTCTATTCATATGGGAAAACTAAAATCCTTATTGTAAATTAATCTTCATCTCTTTTCTTCCCCTCCCATGAACTTGTAAACATATTTCAATCAAATCATTCCGGAATTATTACAAAGACTAAACTATAAGAATTCCGAAAAATTATTTTCCATTCAACTTGATTAAGGGGGTAGAGAAAACCAACAAAAAATCAAACCGAATGGTGACAGGTCGACAGACAACCAAGAAAAATAGATAAAATAAGAAATGTATTTCAGTGTCGTGAAGAATTAACAATTAACAGATTCACGAATTAGGTTTTAAAAGATCGGGTCAAAACAGTCCGTATCCATAACAATCTGCTGGTCCCCCATTGTGGGCAGCAATTTTAGTTTCTCATAGCATCATTCACTAGCAAATCCTTCTGGGCCTAACGTACGTAGAAGCCCACTATACCTAATCTGTGGCTGTTGTCTGGAGTCTATAAAAAACGTCAGGGGAGAAGATGGGTCCCAGTTAAGATCCATCCAGTTGTTTTTTTTTTTTTTTTAATAAGGATGGGTAATCTAGATAAAAGAGTGGTTCGTGCTAATCCTAAAATAGAAAAGCCTTTTGGTGGGTTGGCTAGGCTTTCAAATAATACACATGAAAATCTAGAAGCTTGACTTTCGTGGGCGGCAGCAATCAGATCATATAAAACACCCTTCCGAAGTTCCATCATTGCATCTCAAGCAAACATAAATAAAATGCGGGAACTTCGTAATAATTAAAGATCTTATCTCAAGAGTAACGTGTATGTCAATTGCATACGGCAGTAGCATGAACTCCCAGATGACTCAGACTGTACAACCACGCCACGTGTCCCATCAAATTTGATGTTGCTAAACATTATTGGTCTCTTCCGTGGGAGCAATTTACCTGCCGAAAAAAGAGAGATTATAGGGTTGGCAAACACAAACCTAATACCCAAGCCCACAAGAACCGTCCATCCAATACAAAAGCGACAAAGTTTGGTTTTAAAGCAGTTTTAGCAGCACAAAGATTTTTTGACAATTTGCATGCACAACTGAATCATGTGCGCTCCAGGTATACGCATCAAACGGCTATTAGTATTTGACGGGTAGAGTGACTTCTGATTATAAACGTTACATTTACCCAAACCATATTCATATGCATCCAAAAATACCAACCTTGCTGTTTGGCATGCAAAACCAGAAACCGACAATGATTAGAATCTGTGAATCTAAGTACACGAGTTTGGTTAGCACAAAGGAATGAAACTAAAGCCATGAAATAAAGCAAAAAAGAAACAGGGGCAGCCATGAATAGAAATATTTTCATTATGTACGTGCATATATAGGCACATGTATATGTCACGTGCATATAACCATCATACATAACGTCTTACATATATTATTCACATAAATATATACGTGGATAGAATATGTTTTTAGCACCAAATAAAGATAATTGCTTTTAGCTTGTTTTTAAAGATATTTCTTTTGCCCTAGGTGAATAGTGATTGTGGCAACCAAGGGCATTCATGAGCATAAATATTAAACTAACACCTGTGAGACATGCCTCGGAAATACCACAGTTGGCCGTAGCCGTTTCTGATTCAAATACACATTCCTATGCCCCTTTTAACAAGCATAGATGACCATGTAGGGTCTTCATTTCCATTTACTGCTTTCTATCTAACCTTCCTGATGCCGAGAAAAGAAGCAAACAATACTCTTTTCCAGTGAAGCCAACATTCATATCATATACCTAGTTAGAACGACTTTCCACAAATTTAGTTGTCTCCTTCATGCTACCTTTGGAACAAATCAAGAATTTCTGTATAATTCATTGTAGATTTATTGAAAAATAATTTGAATATTGTAAAATCTCAATTTTACCTGGTCAATGATTATTAATCCAAGTACCAATTGAGCTACACTATCAAAACCCTGCTACATAGTCTATAATTGACACTCCAAATTCTAGTAAGCCGAAATTATGGTGCAAAACCGTTGAGGTGAACAAAACAAAGAGGCAAATTCATTCATACACACATGCAGTATCCGTACCACATACTGAGAAAACACAGATATGACAAATGACAGCAGCCACAACACGTGTACACTGCTTTAATAGATACAAAAATAAGGCTTTCTTCAAAAGGCTGAGTTATGCCAGTAAATTATAAATGAAAGTGCTCTTTTGTCTTATGCTCTGAGTTCCAACCTATTTTACAGCTGACGAATCAGCAGCAGATGAGACAAGAAAAAACAGAAGCAAAAGAAATTAAAAAGACCAACAACAAAGACTAGGATGTGAAGGAGTTTGGTATGCCACCTGTTTGCAGGCCCTCTGGAATCCCAGGCAATGCAACCACAAGTCTCAACTCCTTGGACAGGATTGGAAATGACTAAGAAACAAATTTTAGTAGGATATTGTTATGATGAAATGATGTCATCAACATGAAAAATAGAGAAAATATAGAGTAATGCCAAGTACGACAAAGAAGCTATTCAATCATTCTGAAAATGTAAGAATCTAAATGACTGACTGAACAGAAAACAAATTATGTGGATCACGATATAAACAAACACAATATGATGTAATGATATTCAATTAATTTGTCAGATGTGCATGATGATCAAATCAAAACAATGAAAAGATTCAGCAAAGATTCTTTTCTGCCCTAAATGTTGCATGGTTTAACACCAGTCTTGCTTCAGACATTAACTATCATCCATTTTTAAGAAAATTGCATACCCTTTGCATTTTCCAGGGAAGATTTCTACCATATTCCCATATCCTGTTCCTGCAAAAGCAAAAACAAGTTGTAAAATAGCTCTTGCATTGCAAATACAAAATACATAAACTTACAAAGAAACAGAAGATTTGCCATGGAAATAAAGATCCACAAATCATTCTACTGAATTATCCTGGATGAAATTCAGAGGATACAAAAATGAATGAAATGTAATGCTGGTAGATTTAATGAACCACTCTGTTAAATAGCAATGATGATACGGTACCTTTTGTACACCATTCAAGCATGACAACCCTCTTATATTGTTCTGTTGTAAGAATAAGACAAGGCTCAAGCTAAGCAGAAGGAATGATTGACCCCATACATGATCGGAGAAATCGAATCACCAATCACCTGCAAGATTGTCCCACACAACTGAGTGCTCAACAACAGCAGAAATGTCTAAAAGAAAAAAACTCGGAGCTTCATTCAATACCTTGATAGTTTAAGTATCTCCAACATTTTGAGAATGACAAAATATGAACACTCCCGATGGAAGATAGAAAAACAAGAATAACTAAAATATTTCTGATTTTGTGCAGAAGTAAAATATATTTAAGAATGGGAAACAATTCCACAAGTTTCTTATTATATAACAGCTTAGCCAGCTCCTGATATATGCTTTGCAAGTATCAAGTAAGAAAAAGAATAAGAAAAGGTACAAAATAATAGAAAAGGAAAAAAAAAAGAACAGGATATCAACATGAAATATGTTTCACCAGTACCTAAAGGTTTGATTAGTGTCTTCTATAAAAGCATTGTGCCCGAGCAGTTAAGCATCCACATGTTTATGTCATTTTTTTCAGCTGGAAGACTGCCTTCAGTCTTTACATGATAACAAGAATTTTACAGGCATTCTGGAGATAATGACTTACATCAAGGGATAGAATAGAAGGAAGGATAGAAGCCAAATGAGCCAAGGAGCTCACAGAATTATGGATTGATACTTCCCGGGTAACTGTGGCGAAGAAATTTTTTTGCTGATAACAAGAGAGACAGAAAGGAGAGAAAACAGTGAGTTAATAATAAAGAGAATAGCGTACATCTGATTGCAGATGAAAGCCATAAAATAAACCAAGACATATTCTCGAGGGAAAAATCAATTAATTAATCATTAGTGTCTAAATGAGGTTTCATGATACAGAAATTACAAATTGCATTTGCACAAAATGGCTAAATGCACCATGAATTACAAGTTTCTGGGATTTCAATCCCAGGAGGCTGTTACAATTAGGGTGGAGAACCATATAAAATACAGCTTATCTCAATCCACCAAATTGCAGATAATGCAGTCACTCCCCTTTATCCAGGTTGTTTGCAACCACATGTGATACAGAATTCTGCCTCTTGCCACAACTCACATCCCATCAATAAGGTTTATTCTGTTTGTTGTCTCTCTTAAGTTGAACCTTCAATTTCTTACCTCCTAATTGGCATCCATTCATCATACTAATGGCGTTTTGGGCAGCTACAGGTGAGTCAAAACTAACAAATCCTGCAATGGAATGCTTATTTAATTGCATAACTCTAAGTAACTGACATATTATTACTTAAAAAGCTGAGATACTAACCAAAACATTTGCTAACACCAGTTGCCTTGTCAACAAAAACCTTAGCACTTAAGACCCTACCAAATTGTATAAAAGCATTGGCAAGCTCTTGATCACCAAATTCTTGTGGTATGTGATATATAAATAAATTAGCCCCAGGTGGACCTAAGTCAAACCATAAAAACAAAAAAGTAAACAATCACTGGGTTTCACCAATAAGAATGAACTAAAACAAAAATCCAAATGGCTACAGCTGTAACAAACCTTCAACCTGAACCCCAGAACTTGTACCAGCACCTGAAGATGTTGCTGCACTACTGTTGGCAACAGCAGGTGGCACAGCACCGGGTGAACTACTCAAAGGGCGGTGACCCATCATTCCTCCAGGATATGCCATTGGGTACTGCAGCCTTGGCACACCAGGATAAGCAGAGCCCACATAACTTGCAGGAGGCACGGCATAATTTCTGGGGGCAAGGTCAGGTGACATTCCACGCAGGGCATTCCCTTGGTTTACTGGTGGAATCATGTTGTGAAAAGCAGGTTGATTCTGCATCGGTGGCAGGTAATGCATAAGCCCATAAGTTCCAGGGCCGGCCTGTGAAAGGAAGAAAGAACACAGTCATGATGGTTTAACTCATTTTTTATACCAATAACAGATAAAAATTGCATGGAAAAATGATAGGATGGGCAATCCAAGACATCAGTTAACAGGAGTTCAGCTAGTGGGAGATGAATCCACTCAAGTACGAAACAATAAAACTTACCTGATATCCATATCCATTATATGGAGAAGCATAACCCATTGGTAAGGCTCCAAATATTGAGTGGTGTTGTGAATCAGCATTTGGTAAATTAGGAGCCTGAGTTTGAATTTTCTGGGCCCTTCGAGCTTGCCTTTCTTTTTCTGTATCTGCCCATTTGACAACTAAGGGAACACTTGAACCCTAACGGAAGAAACAATAACAATCAGATAAAAACCATCAATTCATCTCTGACGGTGCAGTGACAGAAAAGTAAACCCCACCAATAAAATGAACTTGGTTATTTGAAATTGTTAAAAGACTAGCTTACCAAATTGACACACATAAATAAGCACAAGACTTACTCATTTAGCCCAAAAAGAAGAGAAGGAAAAAAAAAAATACAGACCTCCATTTTATGCTTCCCGTTGATGGCCTCTAGGGCAGCAAGAGCTTGTTCTTTCGTGTCATACTTAAGAAAAGCACAGCCTGCCACAAGAAAAAAATAGAGCTCCAGATTATTTGTTGAAAACACCTGAAGAGTCAATAATAAGTGATACGGAAGCAAACAAGGAGAGAAACTCAAGATCCCAAGACAAGTACCCTTGCTTGTTTGCTGTGAACCTCTTAAAATTTGTAAATCCTTTATGGTCCCATATTTAGAAAATAATTCTGAAACTTCAGCCTCTGACACATTCTTCGGAAGCATACCAACAAAAAGTTTGTGCTCTGGATGGCAGGTAGAGTTAAAAAAATTTATTCCATCACGTAACAAGAATATAGTTGAGTGCCAAAAACAAAGATCAACAGGAGCAGTAACGCATAAGAAAGGAAAGCGCAGTGTAATCATTTTTGTATACGATCCCAAGGAAATGAGAATTAGTGATGAAAAGAAATTAATTTACCTAGTCTTTCCAATTCTCCATCTGCATATTTTACTTGCAATGGACTAGATGCCTGAATATGAAGAAAGATCATAGTAACTTTAGTCAGAGAGGGAATAGTATAAGTCTAACACCACAATAACAGAACTACTGAAAAACAATATTGGCACAAAGATCCCCAACGAGTTGGGAGGACTGGAGAATAATTAGTCAGATAACGAACTTCTCGCTTTTTAATTGTTTTCACATTACTCTTTAGTAATGGAATGAAAAATTCATAAAAACAATCTAGCAGAACCATATAATGGTGATCAAAATATATTAGTTTCCAGCTATTAACTTCCCCCCGAGGTCTTTTAACAGTCACCTCTGATTTTGTTTTGTCTATTCTTAAATTTAAGCCCATTTCCTTCATAACAGAAAAAGAAGAAAAAGTCGATAAGACAGTCTACAAGAAATACATAATGGTGATCCAAATATCTGAACTTGTTGCAATAAAATTACACCCAGTCTTTATGAGGAGACAAAATAATTAAATAATTATTTTCAGTTTTCTAGGGAAACCATAGAGGATCCACTGAGATTTAAACAGGGGTCAGGACATCAAGTCAATTTAACAGCTAGATGAAAAAAGGAAACATCTAGCTTTGTATGTCTACAATGACTACATACTGCTCCAATCCACAAGCAAACAATGGCATAATTAGAGAGAAGTTCTTATTAAAAAAAAAATCAATTAGAGAGAAGTTTCTCCATGCAAATTAAAAATTCTCTCTCGATTATACAAATAAGCTCAAGTTTGAAAAACCTTCATCACCACTCCAGTAACCTCCTTCTAAGTGAATGACTTTATCAATTTGACCTTAGATCTGTGTTGGGAAAAATTACATGGTTTCTGTTTAAAATCCTGCAATGGATTTTGCTTTTACTTTTCAATAATGTATGACTCTTTTCACATTCCTTTGCCACCTTTTGCATGTTTGCGTAAAAGTTGGTTTTTCCAAGGACAACAAGGGTTGGCATTTGGTGCATTGGTTTCCGAGAAACTATCCAAGTTCTAATAAATGAAAGGTGATCTTAAGGCCCCAGATGGAAATGCTGACAAAGATCACAGCAGAACTGACAGTTGGACAAGTCAGTTATTCTGTTACCAACATGTGCAAAGTGTTCTACTTCAGTTATATACCCTTCCTAAGTTTTTGGACTTCTTTGTGATGTTTGTGCTACTTTTTTACTTACTATGATTCCTGTTCATCCTACGTCAACATTAGATAGGGTTTGACATTAAATAGGAACACACACATTACATGCTTGACGGAGAAGTCAAAAATCAGCATCCAACACATAATATGTGGTAAAAATATTAAATATACTCATCTCTAAATGTGGTTAAGGAAACAAAAAAGTTCTGAAATTCTTAAATTTCATATAATAGAAACATACTTTTAGTCTTTTACATAGATTAAGTTCATTGAGTTGATGACTGCAGAATTTTGTTAAAATTTCTTGCTACTGCTTTTAATTTATATGCATTAAAACACTCCTTTTGTTTTTAAATGATATGAAATTTCCTTCATTCCTTGGGACCTTATTGACATAATCTTTAAGAACGTATTTCCTTTTCTTTTTCCTAGAAGAATTATTATGAATAGACACATTCTCCTCATTAGGATGCCCCTTTAAATCGCACTTGATTCAGTCTTACTGGGAAAACTTAAAAAAAATAGATAGAAAAGGCTACTTAAGAATCACAAAGTAACAGTATAGGAGCTATCTTGAGAACAACCAGCATAAAAACATCCATGAATAAAACTTCATAACTTAAAAGACTTTTTGTTCCCCTGTATCCTTCACCTGCTTTTACGTTTACAAATGATGAAATGGTTTCATAAATTATTTGTAAGAATATCCTTTTTCATGAGAAATATTCTATTGTCTACAAAGAATTTGTGGCAGAAACAACTGAAATCACTTTTATTCCACATAATTAACCCTTGATAGATGAGCTAGCAGCTTCTCTGCAGAAACTCAGAGCCGTACATAAGATAAACCTCCTTTCTTTCACATAACAAGAATGAAAATGCTAAATTTGTGAGATTCTTTAAACACCATGCCTAAAATCAAATCATCTTCTCAAGGCTTACACAGAGGACAGAGTATTCTATGGTCAGGTTTCTATCATTATGGTATCATCAATCTACCAGAGGAATTTATTACGATCTTTCTTTACAGTGACCTTGCTACCAATGCATGACTCCTTTACTTTGAATCTGAAGTGGTTTTCAGAAAACGTAAAAATCAGCAGTTGGCTACCGTACTTTTCAGTGACCAATACCATTAAAGTGCGACAAATAGCATGAATTACAGGAACATTTCATACTCAGTAACCGTTTTGAGTTCACAACTGTGACATAATACAAAACGACTATCATTGAACACTATATGAAATAGAAATTCCAAGTCCTAAGCTACTAATAGGATGTCAAGATCGCAGATATATTATAGAGCATAAACTTAAACAACAATAAATCCACAATGCGCAATATGAACAGAAAGGAATAAAACATAATTAAAAGCAAGAAAATGATCGCGGAGCTAGAAATGCAACGGAAAAGCTAAGAGACTAACCCCGGGCAGCGTCTTCTTATTATGACACGCATTGACCGCCTTATCCGCCTCCTGCCTCGACGGGCATATCACGAAACAACATCCTACACAAACACCACAAAATTAGGGTTCAAAAATAAACAACGACCATCAATGAAACCTCAATGAATCTCGTAAATCACGCATTTCGAAGAAACACAACGAGAAGACGGAAGAAAAAGCAAGAAAGCGAGGAGTTGAAGAGAAAAGATGGAGCGAGAGAGAGAAAGAGAGATTTCAGAAACGGAACCTCTAGAAGCGCGAGTTGCCTTGTCCTTGATGATGTTGACCTCGTCGACGAGAGCGAACTCTTTGAACATTGCGAGAAGTTGAGCTTCGGTCATGTGCTTCGGCACTTGACCTACGAACAGCTTCACGCTCTCTTCGCTCTGTTTTTTCTCCTTTTTACCCTCCGCCATTATTCTCTGCACTTCTCTCTCTCACACACACTCTCTCTCTCTCTCTGCTCCTCTGTATCTTCTCTCTCTCTCTCTTGCAAATTGCTTTCTCTCTGTACAGCGTTTCTCTCTCTCTCTTTCTCCTCCTCGTTTTTCTCTCTCTACAGTTTTTGTTTTTAATTTAGTTTTTTTTTTTCCCTTTATGGAGTCGTCGGGAGGTGAAAAAAATTGGAGTTCTGATTGGCAAAAAGTTGGACCTTCATTGGATTTTTAATATAAATTATATGACTACGAAAATACCCCGCGTTTTTAAGTTATTTACGGAAAATACCCTTCCCGCGGACTATTCAGACTCCTGGGGGTTCGAGTCGAAACGCGGGTTTGTTCGGTTTTGGATTTATTGCGATAGTGAAATTACAATAATACCCTTCTATTCATTGTCTCATTTATATAAATAAATACCATGTTGTCATTGTGTTGTCAATTTGTCTTTTGCAATGAGTTTTTTACTTTTTTTTTTTCTGATATTATTTTGTTTTGGATCAAGTGGGGCATATGCTTTTTTAATGAATTAATTAATTAATTAATTTGTTCTTAAGATCTTAACCATCCAATTTTTTTAGTTTAATTTATAATCTAATTTTAGAATTGCAAAAATAAATTATAATTTAAATTATATAATTTTATGTTACTTGTATTTTACATGAAATTATTAAACTAATTAAATTACAATTACTTAAATTAAACATGTGAATTATAATTATATTTTAATATGAAATAATATATATTATTATTTACTATGTATTACTCTAAATTTAAATTTCAAACATAATCTAACCTTTAAGTTATTAATAAATTATTAAAATTTAATTTATAAAATATACTTTGTCATGTGATTTTAAATGGTTCCATGTTCACTTATCTACATTGTTATTATTTTATTAAATATTATTTATATTAAATTGAGCCTTTTGGGCACGGCTCTATGCGCAATCGTGACCATCAATAAATTGTATATGTACGTTTTGAATTTTTTTTTTTATATTTATGATTTTCAATTCTTAAATTTTATTATATTTATTAATAATATGCTTGACTTATAATAATTAGATCATAAATATTTTAAATATTTAATTATCATAATTAAAAATAAAAAAATATATATACTAAAAATATTATCGAATCAATTATCGCACAAACAAATTAAACTAATTAAAAAACGGATTAGAATAATTAATTCGAACTTATTATTCAATAATCTAATTATAATTTTTTTTAATTAGATTATTTTCAATTGTGGTTAATTAAATTAAAGCACGTGCATGGCAATTATGTCTCCAGACGTATCCGACTCTATAAATTAATATGCTAATAATTTATAAAAAAAGCAGTAGATTTAAGTGCTTATGTATACTACTTATTATGTCAATCAATAAACACGCCACCGTTTTAGATATTTCCCTACAACTTCGGCTTATTTCCCTTCTCAAAAAATAATATGCTTAATCGGAAGCACTTATTTATTAATCAATAATTAGTCGACACTTTATGTTTCCCACTTAAAACTTACTAGACTAAAAACTGAATTAAAACGTGATTAGTGTAAAGACGTGATTAGTGTTTTATGTAGACATGATTGGGGGATTGAAGGGTTGACTTTGACCAGCACGTGCGCGAGGGAGTGAGAGGTCATTTTCAGCAGAAAAAGCGGGTACGGATACCGTTATACACGAAGTAATGGACGGGGAGGAGGAGAAGAGAGGAAGGGCAAAAGCGTAAATAGAGAGAGGGGGGAAAGGGTATAATTGTAAATAAGTGAAAAAAGAGGGGCAGCGAGTTAAGTACGCCAGTCTGTCCCCGCCGAGACAAGTTGCATTCTCTTGGCTCCTCCTCCTGTAATTACTCCTTGTCCCTCTGGTTAATTCCCGCATGTAATTTTTTATTTTTATTTTTATTTTTTACTGCACGGCGCCGGAAATTTACCTTGATTAATAAATTACTGTATTTGGTGTATTATTATATGGAATTTAATTATATAATTGAAATTTTAAACTGTAAGGAGAGGCAGTGGAAAGCAGAAAGGAGGGATTTGAGTGGGGCCCTAATTATGGATCCATGATCCAAATACCTTGCAGGTCAATGTGCTAAGTGGCTTGATGGTGACTAAATTTATTTTTCTTTAATAATAATAATAATTATAATAATTATTATTATTATTATTACGTTTCACCACTATACGGTACTTACTTGGCTTTTATTCCCTGCCATTTTCTGCTTTATTGACACTTGAATTCATACCTTATTTGGTATATTTCCACTTCAATTTTTTTTAAAACATTATTTAACCATTATTTTTATTATTATGCATAATTGAATTACTCATTCTTATATTAAAATTTGAAATTATGAATTTATTAAATAATCAAGGGTTATATAAATACATATTTATATAAATGATATTCATACATTTTAAATTTTAGTTCTATAATTATTTAATATTTTTTTTTGGGTTAAGAAAATTTAATCCAAATAAAATACAAAAAATTTAAACACTATATTACTTATATTATTTAGTAAATATTTAAAATATGATTTACTAAATTATTTATATATTTATATCACGTAACTAAATTTAATATTTAAATTGTATTAATTTATAATTTATTTTTTAAAATACTACGTTGTAAATAAAAAGAGACCTAGTAGACAAGGTCAATCACGGGAGATTTTGTATTCTCGTATTTTTTTTTTCTTTAAGTAAATTTATGGACAAAAAGGGATTTCCCCATCCAAACATGGCGTAATTAATTAATTAAAGAATTGAATCACTTAGTAAAAAAAAATTAGGCTGTGATTGTTTTGAAACTTGTTATGGCCTTAGGTAGACAAAGCATATGAGTCTATAAGCTATTAGCTATTAGTTTTCTTCTATGCTTGGGGGAGAAAAGAAAAAGATTCGCTTAAACTTGATTCGATATACTTTAAAATAGTACTTTAGGTTATGATTACTTGTTATAAGTTTCTTTTTTCCTAATCAAAAGAAAAAAAAAACATATATTATAAAGTAATGATTAATGGAGTAATATTTGTTTACTTTAATAATATTAGATATCGATTATTTTTAAGATTCGAAATATTTATGTATTATTTATTTTGATTATAAATCAATCGGCATTAGATCCGGTAGTGGGTAAATCGAGAGAGCAAGAGTAGTATGAAAATGTAATTCAATAATAATACAAGGTAAAAGTGAAAATTTAAAGAGAAGGGTGAAAATGAGAAGAAGAAATTATGATGGGTAAATAATATGATTAGTAATGGTAATGCAGGTGAAAACAATGATTAATTAATGATTAGTGGAGTAAATGAATTGAAGCAAAATCAGTAACTTTCAATCTAAGTGTTGAAGCATTGAGGAGTTCTTCTAAAAGTCAAATACTAAATTGTTGGTTGTACCTAAATTTCACAATCAAGAAGTGCCAGCCAAGCAAAAAAAAGAAAAAGAATACCAACCAAGTCTAGGTATTGAGCTGTTCCTTTACAAGGTTTCTTCCAGCTGACCTGGGTCAACCTAGCAATTTGTCAAACACTCATATCTTTTTTCTCTTCTCCCCCCCCTCCCCTCCTTCCAATTTGAAGTCCAAAACTCTACATATATATACATATATATATATATATATGTATCTTCAAACTTCTATGTGCAGGTAAGAAAACAGAAAAAAAGACAACTCTTACCTGGATTATTGGTACTTCAATTCATCTTTACAAGATTGTGGGCTCTGAGTAAAATCATGAATATGAAAATGTACACTAATTATAAAGATTTTTTTTTTTAAATAAACAAGTGAAGTATATATTAACATAGTACGAAAAATGAAGGTACCACCCAAGAATAATTTACAAGAGTGTTAGTATATTTATGATATTCTCAAAATTCTCATCACTAATAATGTCGTACCCTAACAAAATAGTTCCAAAAAAATGAATCCGACTATCCCTTAATTTGTACTACACTGATTATAAGGTTAATATCAAAATATGAAAATTCCGAGTAACGTAAATAAAGTATTATGTAAATACTATATTATGTTGATGTTATAAGCAAATTACTGACTACCACACAATATCATAAAGTTATTGCAAAATATCAAAATTAAATTTGGAGTAACTCAGACACCATAATAGCAACCAAAGAAAATAGTTTGGAGAAGTAGAAGAAAAATTGATTGTACTTTGCATATAAAAACAAAGAAGTTGATCATCATTTTCTGGTTGATACAAATTCTCAATACAATATATGATTATGCCAAATATGTCAGCAACCCAAAACTCTGTTCCTTGACACAGGCTCCATTCAACCCCAAGAGAAGTAGAAAAAAAATAATAATAATAACAAAAACAACTCAATCATATAAATGGACATTTTTAATGACCAATAAAGAAGTCTAGATCTATCTCCCTCCAACAGTAAGTCTGGAACCCAACCATATTTTTGGTTGTCCTCCAATAATGGCATTTAAATTGCACTAAGAATTGGATACTACTATTTAGCTGGACATAAATACTATCATCAAGGACTTGCTGGTGAAGAGGGAAACAATCCATATATAACCAGTAAATCCAGAGGGTAAATTGCATTCACTTCAAAAAAATTGAATGCAAAATGGCAACCTGGTGATTATATTGCATCCAGCCCAACAAGCTTCCTTAGCTTCTCGCAGAGTATAAAGGTGATTGTCGTCTGTGGACCCAACCTTGCAAAAGTTGCAAAGCCCCTGAGAGAGAAAAAAAAATGTTTTGGATGTTAACACAAGAAAACCTTGAGTCATAGTAACCCTTGACCGGACCATACTGTATATTGTTGGTGCCATACAGCTCTCTCAAGATGCCCAAGCACCAAATTTGGTCTCTATCTCTTACAAGGTTAAAATCTCAAAACAGAAAAGTGCACAGATTATAGATATGAAAAGTTTTCAGAAACAACTTCATAAAAATTTTCAGCAGTCTCTCAGTGGTTTGCAGGGGCATTGAGCCAAATAACTAGATGACATGATGGGTTTAAATTCTCACCCTTTGTAAAGTGCCCTCGGGCCTTCTGTGAGCATAACCTGGAAACATACATCACAAGGACAGACATTAGACAAAACAAACAGAAAAGAAATATTTTACGTAGAAATAAAAGCTCATCCAAACTCGACTATACAGCAAAAGCTAATTTTCTTTCCCATGCATCAACGTTGAACAAGAAGTAACTGTAATTAGTTTCTTAATTATAAGAGTAAAATAGATGGCAATGGCACACAGTAATATGTTTGACCAGTTTGTATGACCAGATTCCTTTGCTTGACCAAAAGCAGCAGCATTAGAACAGTGCATATCATCTTATAATAAGAGCAAACGAAGACCTTTATACCAACTGAAAGGGCAAAAGGTGCAGTAGGCATTTAAAGTCATGTACCTGATATCCACAATGAAATCCATTTCTATAGCTTCCAACCTGTTTGGATTCGCGTTGCAGCATGAGGCGGGTTTTAATCATGTCCATGGGTGCAGTAATAAGGGTGCTCATTATTCCTGCAATCGCACTTGAACTTCATGTAGTATTATTCAGTTAGTTATAGTTGTTACGGCAAAAAGAAACTCACTTGATATCTTAAAGAAACAATGATACGACCTCATAATTTATTTGATACTGAAACAAATTTCGTCTCAGAATATGGTGGCCGGTCAACCAAGAAACACATCACATATATGGGAAAGGCTTCCTCGGATTTAAACTAGTAAAACTCCAACTAGTAAAAGAAACAATCATTTGTGTTATCATCACAATTACTGAAGTTTTGGCACATGGAAACTAAAGTTAAGGCTTTGTTTTATTTTTCCCTTTCATTCTCTGCTCTTCGGCCATTTATTGCTCAAGTATTTCAAAGCTTTTGGAAGATGATATTAATTGTCAAGATTTCGAAAAATAATGCTCATTGAAACTACTCAACATAGTAGAGACAAGGTGGAAGGATGTAAGGTGAACCATACATCAGATGTAGCTGAAATCCTTCTTCAAGAGGTGTCCATCTAATCAAAATCTGTATCAAAAGAAAATTCCAAAAATAGAAAAAAGTCTTAGAGTAGCAAAAATAGATGAAAGATGCATGACAGAATAACTACTCTTAGACCCAAAAACAATAAAGAAAACCATTCAGAAACCATGGAAATTACTTCGTGAAAAAGTGAAAAAGTAGCATGCTTAGAACTTGACCCGCTTGGATTCATCATATGTTGCCAGCTGTGATGCAGTCAAAGCAGCTGCTCTAGCCATCGCAGGACCAACCCCCTTCCAAAGGGCCCCTATTCCTTCTTCAGACACAATTCTGCGTACCTCAATCATTGGTCCTCCTTGTCTCGCATTTGGGTTCATTTGCAAGCGTACCTGATGAAGGAGAATTAATTTCTCAGAGTAGGCATAAGAAGGAAACTTTAAGCAGCATCCTTGCATTACCTTCAGAACTTCAATAGGATTGGTCAGTGCAGTTGCTACCGAACCAGCAAATGCACCAGATGCAATCTTAACCAAGACATTTGTGGAGCCAAATGCCCAATCGCAGGCATACTTTGAGGGTTCATATAGGCCTAAGCGGAGTCCCCCATAAAGCACAGACCTAGTCAATGCAGGTGTCAATCCCAAGTACAAAGACCTTGGTCCTTCATTTTTCAAGGCCTGAACAAATAATCCTCCCTGTATGCACTCGACAAAAAAGAAAAACCTGACAGTCATATATAGTTTCATAAACAAATCACCATTATAGAATCACAGTTGTCACTACGAACATACCATTCCCGTCAAAGGACCTCTCTGGCCAACAAGCTGCATCTGCAGTCTCACTTTCAACACATCTGCATTTTGGATGAAATATATTAGGCACTTAAAGATTCAAGAGATGCAAAATAGGTCTTATAATAAATTTAAAAGCATTTTGTTCCATGAACCTTCCAGTAACTTAAGTAAGCCAAGTATTGTAAACTAATTCCTTCTAGATGTGATCAATGTTCCTACAATTCTTTTTCGAATCTCCATAGCACTCAAGACCAGGCAATTGGACACTAAGAAGCACTAATAAAAAGCTAATGAACCTGCATCATTTTATAAGAATGCTGGTTGTCCAAGCAGTAAATTTCACCAACTTTTACGATGTTAAGACTCATTATATCTCAGAATTCCATTTTCCTCCCCTAAACCTCTGTACTTTGCAGCCAGAAAATGCTTCAAATTTAGGAATGAAGCTCAATTAGTATAATCATAACTGTGAACGTCCTTATCTAAACTTCATAGAAAGAGCGTCCAGATTCTCAGTAAGCAGGTCTGGCAGGAACGGGGCTTATAAGACGAAACCCTTTGAAGGTAGGGAATTGGGAGACTACAATGCATGAAAGTTGGTTTAAGACTAAGATTCCGTCGACGTTAAATAAAACAATGCATTTTCCATAGGTATACTGCATGGTATATAGACTTCAATAGAAAAGAAAAGAAGATATCCAGTAATTCACATTAGAAACTTCAAGCATCGAAATAAATCATGTAAAAACTATTACACCATACATGCATATTTACAAAATAGAAGAATGGAAGGTGCGAGTTTTCCACCAATTCTTCTTTTTCCTCTTTAACAAGTGAAAGCAGTTCAATACATTGGAGAAAGAGATGAACCTAAAGGATGAGTAATGCCCGTGGCAATGGCAACAGAGAGTCCACTCGTGCCGAAATGCCAAAAGATTTTTGACGGCGTCGCCGATTCCATCCAAATCTGCTTCCCCTTCAATGTTTCAGGCCCTGAACATTCCCACCACGTCAATGTTTTGTATGTAATCTATGTTTTCAGGTTAAACAAAACAACGTGAAACATGAGATTTCTTTGACACGTTTATCTTTTTTCCCAATCATTTTCCTTCGTTTTCAATGAAGCTAAACAGAAAAGGAAAATCTAATAATAATGATATGAAATGGAACCTGGAATCGAAGAATTTCGTGGAGAGGAAGATCCCATTTCTGCTTTTTTCTTTTCCTTCCTTTTTCTCCGGATCGCTCCGGGGAGGAAACAACGCCGAGGGGAAGAACTGTGTGTCTGTTTGACGTTTCCTGTTCCAAAAAACGACGGCGTTCGAGGAGTATTTCCTCTTTTTACGGTCCGAACTAATGCCACTTTCCGCGAAATAACGTCCTCGTTGAATGTCATCCGTTAGATGTCTAAAATTGTCGGGAAATCTTATCCGTTGATATGTTTATTACAATTATTTAATAACACAATTAAAAATTATAATTGATAAATATAGAAATCGGTTTTAAATTTTAATAAATTATTAATAAAATACAATGATACGACTCCGTATCAGTAATTCACTACTGAATTTGATATGAAACGACGACGTATCACTAGGGCCATTTCATTTGCCCGATAAATTTAACTTGCACTAAGCAATTATTCTTCCAGAACCAACCTCACCTATTTCTCTCTGGCGCTCGAGAGTTCTCGTCTCCTTCCCGAGCGACCGGCTTCATCTTTTTTGATCTGCACTGAAAGTGGGCATTAGTGTTTACGGAAAGCCATGCCCAGGTAGGGTAGTTCATCATCTCATTTGCTAATGTTGTCTCATCACTGAGGTTAATGCTAACTTCGTATGATTCTTCGCTGAAATTTTGCAGGTATTACTGTGACTATTGTGACACTTATTTGACTCATGATTCTGTAAGTTTCTTCTCCTACTTAGGATCATCTTCCTATTGTTTCTGCTTTCTTCTTTTTTTTGATTGTGATAAACCCGAATTAGGGCATGGAGCTAAACCAAGTTAACACAATCAACTGAGTCAATCGAAGTTAAATTGGTACTTAGGGCTTTATTCTGACTATAAGACTTGTAATTAACACGAATCGAGTTGTTTAACCTGTAAGTCAGACTACTTTTGCTTAAATGGAAGCAAACCACCGGGTTTATTGTTTGTCTAAATTGTCTTGTAGATTTTGTATACCTGATTTCCTTTTTGTTTCGCCAATCTCTGTTCATTGCGTGGAAATCTCTAGTTTTATGTTCTACATATACATCTTTGGCATATTTTTTATGAAGTTAACCGTGAGTGAGGTTGTGGTGGCTCTCACTGTGCTAGTTTGAGTTATAATTTTTTTGTTTGGTTGATGGGGTTTATCAAGCGCTGCTGTTGCTTGCAAAAAGTTCTATATATGCTGTGATTTTCATAGCCCAGCTGAATAGTTTTCTTTGCCTATGTGTGGAGAAGTGTTTGCGTGCTTCATGTTAACTTCTTTTTATATCTGAAAAGTGAGATTCATAAGCGTTATGTGTTGTTAATGGTCTCTGCATTTCTATATTTCAGCCATCAGTGAGAAAGCAACACAATGCAGGCTACAAACACAAGGTGATAATTCTTTTTTGCACATTAGTTGGGTTTGATGGATCAATATGTTTTTGTTAATGCTGCTTGAATGCTGATTGCCTGTTTTAATCTCAGGCGAATGTCAGAACTTACTATCAACAGTTTGAGGAACAACAAACGCAAAGTTTAATTGACCAAAGAATCAAGGAACATCTTGGCCAAACTGCAGCATTCCAGCAGGTTGGTGCTGTTTATAATCAGCATTTACTTGCCCAGAGGCCCCGTCTTCCTATTCTACCAACACCAGTGATGCCAGGGACTGCACCAGTGGCAGTTAATACACCATTAGTCCCGGGGATCAGGCCTCCTGTTTTGCCAAGACCAGTTCCTGGAGCTCCAGGTATACTATATCTTAATTTATTTCTTGATCTTTTCAGTTAATAATTAAATTTTTCGGCTATGCCCCTTGAGTTATTTTGTTATCCTAATTCTTATTCAATTTCATGTTTCTGAATTGGTGTTTGACTACTACTGTTTCTTTGCATGATACTTTAGTAAAGAAATTAATTGGTGATAGAGAACTTGATGATATTTCCTTTGAAGCTTGTTTGATCTCAATCAACAGTGTTCCTTGCTCCACTCATCACTTGATACCTGATTTTTGATGAAGACTAAATCAAATCTAGTTGGTGCTATTATTGATCTCGGTTCACAATATATCACTTAAATCTCCACTTTTTTTAGTTTTCCTATGAACATGTTAGCTGAGTAAAGATGAAAATTAGGTCTCTTGCAGTTCTGAGCTTCTATGCTAGGTGTTTTCAGCATTATGACACCATGATATTTTCTTGTGTAATGAATCTAATCCTGGTGGTTTGATCTCAATCAATGGTGTTCCTTGCTCCTCTCGTCCCTTGATGGTTGGTACCTGACTTTGGATGGACTTACTAAACCTAGTTGGTTCTATTACCATTCTAGGTTCACAATATATCACTCCCTCTCATCTTTAAGTTCCAAGTTTTTTAGTGTTCCCTTGATCATATTGGCTTAGTAAAGATGAAAATTAGGTCTCGGCAGTTCTGAACTTCTGTATTAAGTCCTTGCAGCATTATGACACCATGATATATTCTTGTGTAATGTACTTCAAAAAATATATATATTCTTTTGTGACAAACTCTAAGCCTTGGTGGTTTCGAGAATGATCGGGACTGATTGTTTCTTATGGTGGTAGGAGGCTACATGCCCGCTCCAACCATGCCGCAAATGGTGGCACCACCTGGTGCTCCTCCTATGCCTGGTCAACTGAATGCTCTCCCACGGCCTCCTACTATAGCGCCCCCAGCAACAGTTCCTGGCAGTACAACGCCTGCTTCTTCAAATGGAGCCCCCTCCATGGTTATGCCTGCAACATATCAAGCCAATCCAACAGCACCCACCAGTGGAGGATTTGATAATTTCAATGCCAGTACTCAACCTCCGGAGACCAATCACTAACCATGTCTTCATCCTGTATCCTAGGAGCTTAAGTAAGAATTCGTACTGCTCTTTTGTGGAATTTTGATCATTAATGAACTCGGTTTTTTATGGTAATCAGATGTAGAATTTGTACTAGTGTTTTGAAATATGAAAGAGTTGATAAGAAACAAAGAAACTAGTAAATTTTTTTTTCTTATGCTGTTTCTGGGAATGTATGGAAACGCCATAGAATTATAGGGTTTTCCTAAGCGGAACGTGTTTTCTTTACATTTGCAAGTTATCTCGTGTATAGAAGCATAAATTCTGTGTTGAAGCCGAGTCCAAAAAAAGTAGCTTGATAGCTCTTGTCGTTAGATCTCCTTTTTGAGCTTATCAAGAAAATTGTGAAGGACAATTGTAGTTTAACCTCCTGCTCGTTTGGTGTATTTTAAAATTTAATTTTTGATTGTTTAAAGATTATAAACTTAGACAAAAACAATTGAATTATTTGCATGAATTATTCAGGTTACTTGTGGAACAAATTTAAAATTTATGGAAAATTTATTTGTAAGTTTATATTATTTTAATTAGAAAATAGTGAGAATTTACTTAAAATAATAGCAATTAAATTCATGTGAAATTTAATATACAGGATTGTTTTTCAATGACTAGAGGGGATTGACATTTTGTGTTGATAAAATTAAGTGGAAATATGTAAATACTTTTAGTCTCTAAATATAAATTATTAAAATTTTAAAAATTGGCTAGCATTTATCAAATTATGGATGACGATGAAAGAATTATGATCTCATAATAACAATAAAGTTATATAGAACTTATGTAGTCTCCAAATAGGATAAGTTATTATCCACAAAACAAATTATTGAAAAAGAAACCTAACTTTAAGGTGTTGAAACTGTCAACTTTGCAATTTTTTGGATATTTGGACAAAACGTAAATGGTATTTGATGCTGGTTTGTTACACCTTGGTGCTGACTTTATACAGCTAGTTTAGACATCCTAAGAGAAAAAAATTAAGTAAATAAAATTGTACAACATACCATTCAGGAATCCGCATTTCACTGCTTTCTCTTTACGGCTGTGGAAATTTACAGAAGATATTTGATTTCATTTTATGTACATGAGGAAAGAAGAAAAGTCACTGCATCCTTCTTGACCTTCTCTTCTTGTATTGACGCCTCTCGACAACATCAGCAAGGAAGAGCTGGTGTCTGTCAATTGAAAAACAAGCAGTTAGTTTAGTCAACAAAGCATTGCAACTTTCTGCTAAAAATCTTTTTCTTTCCAATTTGCCTTATCTGGGTATTGAATGTATTACATCATATACATATTGTGTGTATGGATGGAACGAGATGATATTGTCTATCCTGTTAAATGCTATGGGGCACCCATATTTCCTTTTCAAATGTTCATTCTCGTAAGTGCTTTCATTTCTAGATTTATTGTATCCTTACCTTTCATATTCCAGTTTCTGGACGACAATCCCATTCAGAAGAAGCTCTGAACTGTAGGCTGCTGCCCCTGTTCATGAAATTACAACTAAATAAATACATGAATGACACAAGGTGGAGTAATCATTCTTATAAGAAAATTTTGGAACACTTGATTGTTCCTTGATATTGTACCTTTATCAAGGAAAGGAAAACAGATTTCTTCATCTTCTTCACAAGAAAGAATCAAGAGATCATCTGATATCTTCTGATCTCCTGTCATGGATATCTGACTTCTCTCCACTACCTGAAGAGCAATTTGAACATCTAAAATATGAAGTACAGTTTCATCACTGTGATTTCTTTTATGACAATTCAATATCTGTCTTTGTCTTTTTTTTTGTTATTTTACATAAATTATTAGTTTAAGAAGACATGTACACATTTGGTTTGTAAATACATAACTAGAAGTTCAAGACTAAAGAAGACAAAATTAGAGAAAAAACTAAGATAATAGACTATAAAAAACTAATATTGAATGTAAAATGGGAAAAAAAAAAATCAAATTAGGATATACTAAATTGTCACGGAAGATATCACAAAGATGCATAAGGTGAGAGTATACTTTGCAATGTAAAATTTTATATATTCTATATGGAAGAGTGTTAAATGACATTGAACATATCAAGAAAAATGCAATGTTGCAGAACCAACCAAGTACAGTTAAGTATACCTGGCCATGAACTGCCTTCACCAAGTAAACAATCATTTCTTTATCAGGCTTAATGTGTGGTGTCACCAAGACTCTTTTACCCTGCAGAAACACAGCAACTTTTAGTGTACAAGTTTTCAAAGACAAGACTTGAGCTATAAGTTAAAAAAAAGTTGTTGCAATGACCTTAAGAAGTGGATGCCGGTTTGCATGAGCTAGTGAATCAGGCATACTGAAGCCAACTTCCTTTTCCTTTTTTGTATCCCTCAAAATATAATTCTTTTCATCAATTAAGCAGTTTGCTTGTCCACAGCTCTCAAGCCATAAATGTGTAACAACTGGTTTACCAAGAGCAATGGATTCCAACATATTTCTTGTCCGCACAAATCTATCTGCTACGAAGTGTGTTGCATCCATGGAACATGATGCAGTAGAAATGCCCAACCGAGCTAAGATCTGGAGAAGTCACATGAAAGCAATAGTATGATTATTGTCTTGCATATCATAATGCTAATTGCTAAAGAAAAAAGAGGTTTAAAAAGATGGAAGTAACAGACAACCTTCTTCTGCTGCTTGACTATACCATCATCCAAATGCTGGCTGAATAAGACTCGAACATATGCCGCGCCTCTTCGTATTCTTAGATCTTTCCATGCAGAATCCACTTTTGTCCCAACCATACCTAACCTCATCAGCTCTTTCAAGAGAGATGACTTTGGTATGTTTTTTTGGTAGGGTATTTTGTGGCATTTATCGAATGCATTCTGGAAAGATGCTTCATTTAAACATTTGTCACAGTTGACTTTGCCAGATAATTTTGAACCGCGGGCTTGAGTACTATAGTTTGGTGAATTACCAAAGTCATTCTTCTTTTTACCATTAAATGATGATAGCTTGCACTTGCTGCTTGACTTAACCACTGTGATTGAGGCTTGCAGGTTACTAGCTGCAACAGAATGCCTTTGCAGTTTACAAGATGATCTTTTCCTCCTAGACGAGTTCCATGCTTCAAGGTTGAGAAAACTTGGTATCATATTGACTTCTGAAACAGTTTGCTCTTGTTGATTCAATTTACTTTCAACAGTTTGCCAAAAGACGCCAGAGGAGAACTTCGAATGCTTTTTTCTACCACTCAGTCTTCTTCTGTAAGTTAGAATACCATTCTGCATGTCATCATTTTTCCTTTTTCCTGTATTATCTGATCGGTCCTTATTTCCTTCGAACCTCTCTTCAGTCGACGTAGTTTGCAGGACAATTGCTTTCCCATCTGACTGTCCTTTAACCCGTGAGACCTGTTCCGCCACTATTGATGAACTACAATTTTCAGACTCTTCAATGTTTTTTCCAGATACAGCTCCAACTGCCTTTCTTTTTTCAGTGATCCTAAAAGATTTTCTTCCTGAATTTTCATTTGTATTGACAGGATTTCTTGCATTCTCATTTCCAACAGTCAATGTCTTACTTCTCTTTGCTTTTGATGTTATAGCCAACTTAGGATCAGATTCCTGATAATTAGCAGTCTTCTCGGCTGCACTAGAATCTCTTCTACAATATTTTCTAGCTGGACATATTCCTTGATTCAACTTTCTGTTACTTCCTTCAAAATTGTTACTTGAAATCTTCTGCAAGGAATGCTGTTCGGAATGAAATTTGCCCATCAATATATAGTTTGGAAAATCTTCAAGGGATCCTGTACCTTGATTGGCGTTACCAATGCTGCAGCCTGAAAGAGGTGCAAACAATAAGGTCTCGATCGCCTCAGCAGCTATTTGAGTGTTGATACCAACTTCAAACACATCCAACCCATCATCCAACTGCTGTTCCAATGCTTCAGCCTTCAACTCTTTATTGAACTGCATAGGATTCATTTCAGGTGGTTGTTCTATCCTCCGGGTCCCTGTATGAATATTCCCCACAAATCTTGAACATGAATGATCTAGGTTTTCTACATTCTTTTCACATTTGTCATCTAAGCTGCTATTTTCTTTATCAGTGAGATATCTGCCATTTTGATGCCCTGCAGTTTCCTGCCTGATGCTGCTGCCATACCCAACAGATTTTTTGACCCCTTTTAGGACCTCACCTCCTCCATGGTGATCAATATCAACCCATTCAAAGGTATCCCTTTCCCCGACAGGTGTCCCAGGCCTGATTTTCTTGGCCAATATTTGAGGTCCCTTGGCACCAGAGAAGGACGATTTCTTATTCACGGTCCTCTTTGTGTTGATTCCGGGAGAAAAGTTCACAGCATTGAATGTTAAAAACTCATCCACAAAGCCAAGTGCATTGGCTTGAGACAATTCTCCAGGTTCCTGTGAGCTGATGTAATTCAAGCTTCCCGTTTCATGGCCGCATTCGGTCATCTGGGAAGGATCCTTTCTCCCATTATCACTGTAATCAATTGAGCATCCCTTGTTCCCTTCAAATTTAAACAGTAAATTCAGCTCCATAATCTTTAAATTCAAAAAATGCATGTTTTACATATCTCCAAACTGAATGCTTA